GGCAGGCGCCAAACCGCTGCGCCACCCAGGGATCCCTATTTATTTATTTTTGAGAGAGAGAGAGGTATGAGTGAGAGTGCTGGGGGGTGGGCAGTAGAGAGAGAGGGAAGGAGAGACTCCATAGACAGGCTCTGAGCTCTGAGTCAGGGCTCCATCCCACATCCCAGAGATCATGACCTGAGCTGAAATCAAGAGTCCCAGGCACCCCCTTATCTTATATAAAAACTCTTTGTTAAAGTGTAACTGAGGGATCCCTGGGTGGCGCAGCGGTTTGGCGCCTGCCTTTGGCACAGGGCGCGATCCTGGAGACCCGGAATCGAATCCCACGTCGGGCTCCCGGTGCATGGAGCCTGGTTCTCCCTCTGCCTATATCTCTGCCTCTCTCTCTCTCTCTCTGTGTGTGTGACTATCATAAATAAATAAAAAATTTTAAAAAAAGTGTAACTGACATACACTAAACTGCACGTTTATTTTTTTAAAATATTTATTTATTTATTCATGAGAGAGGGGGAGAGAGAGAGAGAGAGAGAGAGGCAGAGACACGGGCAGAGGGAGAAGCAGGCTCCATGCAAGGAACCTTATGCGGGACTCGATCCCTGGTCTCCAGGATCACATCCTGGGCTGAAGGCAGAGCTAAACCGTTGAGCCACCCGGGCTGCCCTCATTCTTATTTCAATAGACATGTAGGTTGTTTCTTTTTGCTTGTAGCAGATTTTTTTTTAAGTTAAAATTGTTGTTATTTTAAAGATTTTATTTTTAAGTAATCTCTACACCCAATGTAGCTGGAGCCCACAACCCTGAGATCGGAAGTCACATGCTCCTCTAAATGAGCCAGCCAGGCACCCCACTTGTTTCTAGTTTTTAAGAATCACTAATAGGGGATCCCTGGGTGGCGCAGCGGTTTGGCGCCTGCCTTTGGCCCAGGGCGCGATCCTGGAGACCCGGGATCGAATCCCACGTCGGGCTCCCAGTGCATGGAGCCTGCTTCTGCCTCTGCCTCTCCTCTCTCTCTCTCTCTCTCTCTCTGACTATCATAAGTAAAAAATAAAAAAAAGTAAGAATCACTAATAAAATATTAATGATCAAGTCTTTGTATGGACATAGGTTTCTCTTTCTCTTGGGTAAATACCTTGAAGTAGAATGGCTGGATCATATGGTAGATGTATGTTTAACTTTTAAGGAAACCACCAAACTGTCCTCCAAAGCAATTCTACCATTTTATATTCTCATCAACAGCATATGAGCTTTCCAGTTGCTCTACATTCTCACCAGTATTTGGTAGGGTCAGTCTTTTAAATTTTAGACATTCTAATAGATACATCATAATAATTTACAGTAGTTTTTATTTTCATTTTCCTAATCAGTAGTTGTAATGGTATTGAGAGTCTTTTCATGTATTTATCTTATTTCACTTTAGTGAAGTGTCTATTCAAATATTTTTCCCATTTTAAAAATTGGGTAATTTTCTTCTAATTGTATTAAAGCTTGAAAATCCTTTTTATATTCTGGTAGAAGTCTTTTATTGGATATATAATTTACAAATGGGGGATACAATCTTTAAAAAAAAAAACAAAAAAAAAACCAAATATTTTCTCCCCTTTGTGGTTACTCTGTTCATTCTCTCTTTCTCTTTAAATATTTGTTTATTTTAGAAAGAGAGAATACAAGCAGGGGAAGGAGCAGAAGGAGGGAGAGAGAATCCTAAAGCAGACTCCCCACTGAGCATGGAGACTGATGATGCTAGATCTCAGGGCCCTGAGACCGTGACCAATAGTCAGCCCTTCAACTGACTGAGTCATTCAGGTGCTCCTCTGTTCATTCTCTTAACAGTGGCTTTTGAGGAGCCAAAGTTCTTAATTTTGACAAAGTGAAATTTTATCTTTTTAAAAAATGGATCATGTTTTTGGTATTGTATCTAAGAAATCCTTGCCTTACTGAACATCAGAAAGATTTTCCTCATGTTTTCTTTTTTTTGTTGTTTTTTGTTTTGTTTTGTTTTTTTTCTTTATGTTTTCTTCTGGAAATTTTAGAGTTTACATTTTACATTTAGGTCTATACTCCATTTTGAGATGATTTTTGTTTATGGTATAAGCTATGGATCAAATATAGCTTAATTTGTACCTTTCTTTTTTTTTTTAAATTTTATTTATTTATTCATGAGAGACACAGAGAGGGAGAGGCAGAGACACAGGCAGAGGGAGAACCAGGCTCCATGCAGGGAGCTCGATGTGGGACTTGATCCCGGGATTCCAGGATCACGCCCTGGCTGAAGCCAGGTGCCAAACCGCTGAGTCACCCAGGGATCCCCAATTTGTACCTTTCTTATATGTGTAGTTGAGCATATTTTCATATGTTTAAATACAAGTTGTAATTTTTTCTTGTGAGCTCTTTGGTCAAGTCTTTTGCTTGAGGCTGCTCGAGGCTGCTAAGTTTGGATATGCAGTTCATGGAAGTTGAAGCTGAAATCTAGCAGCACACAGCTCAGCTAGTCACGCATGCTGTGACTCCTCAGGGAGGCCTGTTCTTTACTTTGCACAAAGGCACAGTATAAGCTAGCACAGGCATTGCTTTAGTCCATTTGTCTCTTGTATGGTAGGTCTTTTGCATATTTTATAGGACTTTTCTGTATTATTTAGCCCTTCATCACTGTGGGGTAAATATATTTTTTCCCAGCTAGTCATTTTTTCACTGTGTATATTTCACTACCAGAATTTTTTTTTTTTTGTAGAGTCAGATATATCTTTTCTATTATGGGTTCTGAGTTTTGTGTCACACCCAGAAAACTTTCCTACTCCAGTTATTTGTTTAATTTATGTTTTCTTCTAACTCAATCCTGCCTTGCCCCCTCCTCATGGATGTTATTTGTGAAAATCAAATGAGGGATTCATTGGGCAAGTGCTTTGAGATCACCCAGTGGTGCAAGTTATGCAGTAAACTGAAGGGTTCTGGAAAGTTGTCTACAGTAGGAGGGGCTGAGTGCTGCAAACTTACATAATCTTGTGACCCACCTGGTAATGAGAGCTCAGAGATCACCCTTCTGGCTGAGACCAGCCCTAAACTGGGAAGCATAAGTATTCTAAGAATACAGGGAGGGTGAAGCTACTATAGTGAGTAGAGTGGTTAATAAGACAGGATGTCCTGGGAATCTCTTAAAATAGGAAGGTCAAAATGCTTTTGCTATTGAGTACCTTAATAAGTCATTTGTCCTTTTAACAGCTATTTACTGAGTTCCTTACTAAAGGATCAGAAATGAAAAACTCCATCTCTGCCTGCAAGAAGTTTAGAGTAGGGGAAGAACAAATATTGTTAAAATCTCTATGATACCTAGAGCAATCTATACATTCAATATAATCCCTATAAAAATACCATTAACTTATTTCACAGAGTTGGACAAATAATCCTAAAATTTGTATGGAACCAGAAAAGACCTCGAATAGCCAAAGGATTGCTGAAAAAGAAAACCAAAACTGGTGGCATCACAATTCTGGACTTAAAGCTGTGCTACAAAGCTGTGATCATCAAGACAGTATGGTACTGGCACAAAAACAGACACATAGATGAATGGAACAAAATAAGAGAACCCAGAAATGGACTGTCAACTCTATGGTCAACTCATCTTTGAAAAAGCAGGAAAGAATATACGATGGAAAAAAGACAGTCTCTTCAATAAATGCCGTTGGAAAAATTGGACAGCCACATGGAGAAGAATGAAACTGGACCATTTCCTCACACCATACACAAAAATAAACTCAAAATGGATGAAAAACCTAAATGTGAGTTAGGAATCCATCAAAATCCTAGAGGAGAACACAGGCAGCAACCTCTTTGACCTCAGCCACAGCAGCTTCTTGCTAGACATGTCTCCAAAGGCAAAGGAAACAAAGGCAAAAATGAACTAAAGGGACTTCATCAAGATAAAAAGCTTTTACACAGCAAAGGAAACAGTTGGCAAAACCAAAAGACAACCTACAGAATGGAAGAAGATATTTGCAAATGATAAATCAGATAAAGGACTAGTATCTAAAATATATAAAGAATTTATCAAACTCAACACCCAAAGAATAAATAATCCAATGAAGAAATGGACAGAAGACATGAACAGACATTTCTCCAAAGAAGACATACAAGTGGCCAATAGACACATGAATTAATGCTCCACATCACTCGGTATCAGGGAAATACAAATCAAAACCACAATGAAATACACCAGTCAGAATGGCTAAAATGAACAAGTCAGGAAACAACAGATGTTGGCGAGGATGAGGAGAAAGAGGAACCCTTGTTAATTGTTGGTGGGAATGCAAGCTGGTGCAGCCATTCTGGAAAACAGTATGGAATTTCCTCAAAAAGTTGAAAATAGAGCTACCCTATGACCCAGCAATCACACTACTGATATTTATCCCAAAGATACAAATGTAGTGATCTAAGGGGGGCACATGCATTCCACTGTTTATAGCAGCAATGTCTACCTACAATAGCCGAACTATTGAAAGAGCCCAGGTGTCCATTGACAAATGAATGGATAAAGAAGATATAGTATATATATAGATATACAATGGACTACTACTTAGCCATTAAAAAAAAATGAAATCTAACCATTTGCAATGACATGGATGGAACTAGGAAATATTATGCTAAGTGAAACAAGTCAATCCAAGAAAGACAATTATCATGTGATCCCATTCATATGTGGAATTTAACAAACAACAGAGGATCATAGTGGGAGAGAGGAAAAAATAAAACAAGACAAAATCAGAGAGGGAGACAACCCGTAAGAGACTCATAATCATAGGAAACAAACAGGGTCACTGGAGGGAAGAGCGGGGAACAGGGTAACTGAGTGATGAACATTAAGGAGGGCATGTGATGTAATGAGCACTGAGTATTATTTAAGACTGATGACTCACTCACTGACCTCTACCTCTGAAACCAAAAAGATATTATATGTTAATTAATTGGATTTAAATAAAATTTTAAAAAAAGGAAGTTTAGAATAGGGTGCTTGCTTTGGCCACACATATACTAAAATTGGAACAATGCAGAGAAGATTAGCATGACTCCTGCATAGAGAGTCATGCTAATTAGAATGCCATGCAAATTCCTGAAGTATTCCATATTTTTAAGAATGAAATCTTGCCATTTGCTGGGACATGGATGGAGCTAGAGAGTATTATGTTAAGCGAAATAAGTCAGTTAGAGAAAGGCAAATACCATATGATTTCACTCATATATGGAATGTAAGAAACAAAACAAATGAACAAAGCAGGGAAACCCTCAAGAAACTCAACTATAGAAAACAAACTGATGGTCACCAGAGGGGAGGTGGGTGGGGGGATGATAAAATAGGTAATAGGTATTAAGGAATACACTTGCTGAGATGAGCACCGGTGTTGTATTAAGTGTTGAATCACTATATTGTACACTTGAAACTAACATTACACTGTATGATAACTGGAATTTAAATAAAAACTTAAAGATTAGTTTACAGTAGGGAATCCAGAGCACCCCTAGAGCAGGGAAAACAATTCTAGCTGTCATTTCTTGAAGACCTATTGTGAGCCAGGGACAGTGGTGGTCTACATATTATCTCATTTGACACAGGCAATCCTCCTGAAGGTAGACAGGAATAACATTCCTTACCCAACTTGCCCACATGCAGGTGTCATGAGATGCTATGCGACAGCCCACCTGAAAACCCTTTGAAAATAACACAAGTTAGAAAGCAAGACTAGGACTTATCTGTTTAACTGAGAGGAAGTCTGTGTAGGAAAATAAAGAGAATTGCTATTACAGGTATACTGGTTATCCTAGACAACTTTTTTGAAAAGCTGCCCCAGGTTAAAAAGAGAATAGGCTAAAAGAAATAAGCATACGTTTCATAATAGGCTTTCTGCTGAAGATCCCTGAAACTGCGCCGCATATGTTAACTAAATTTGGCGGGAGGATCTGGGATTCGAACCTTAATTCTAATCTCCACGTTCCACTCAGGCATTTCCCCTTTTACCACGCCCCCTCACTGGAACTCCATTTCCCAACATGCACCAGGCTTCTCTAAGTCGGCCGTCTTTGTGACGCGAGTTCCATGGCTTCCTGGGAAATGTAGTTCATTTGTTCTCCAGCTGCGGAAAAATCTAAGGCTGTGGACTACAACTCCCGTGAAGTACTGCAGAATTCCACCGCGTTCGCGGCGTCTTCGAACGCGCCGCGGCAGCCATGTTGGACGCGGCCAGCCTAGGGGCCGGCACCAGGGGGTGATGGAAGCAGCTATCAGGATGCTGGGGTCCCTGGTATTGAGGAGAACAGCGCCGGCGCCGCGGCTCCTTCTCCAGCTGCTTAGGTCCCCATCGCTCCGGAGTCATGGAAGTGCCTCCGGCCAGAGTGTGATCACCGCGGGCCGCGGGGAGCCGCAGTGGCTGAGGGCGGCCGTCTGGGGGCGCCCTGGATCATCGCCAGCCTTCCTCACCGGAGAAGGGGCAGCCACCTGGGGGCGCCAGGGAGGACGCCCCGAGACCCAGTGCCTCGTAGCCGCAACGTGGGGACGCCTTCCTAGCCCAGAAGAAGCACTCCCGGGACAGGACAGCTGGAACGGGGTCCCCAACGGGGCCGGACTGAGCATGTGGGCCCTGGCCACGGCGCTAGTGGTTCACTGTTACAGCAAGAGCCCGTCCAACAAGGGTGATTATCCGGGCAGTCTGGGTTCGAGGAGGACAGAGGCGGGAGGAATGACCTGACTTATCTTTGGAGGGCAAGAGTTGCTTATAGATTTAGACCAGCAGAGCTTCAGTCCTGAGGGACCCAGACATCGTCTGGTTACCGGGGCAGAGTGGTGAACTGGAGAGCTCAGTGCCGGAGTTGTATAACTTCCCATCATAGGTCACCTCGTTTCTTTGGCCATTACTTTGTCCATCTGTACAATGGAAACGTTGGATGAGACATCTAAAATTAGAGCATGGTCCTTTTATGCTCCAGTACTCAGCCCGGCCAAATTCCTCTCTTAAGAGGTCTCCAGGAAACCGCCATGTGTTCTAATGGCAACTACTAGATAGTTTAGAGACGTTTTTCCCCTAAGGTGGCCTAAGAAAGGAAGTAGAGACCTGGTTTCAATGCCAGCTTTGCCACCGCTCACCCCTTGCTGCTCCCTGGTTTCAGCCCCCTCCCACCCCCCCTTACACGGTAAAGAGTTGATTTCTCAGTACTCTTACAGTGCTGTTGTTTTGAGTCTTGGAGTTCAGCAGCCAGGGGGCTGCTCATCAGACTCTTCAGGGGTTTTGTTGTCCGTGGTCTCAGGTGTGAGGTGATCTTGCCAAGCCAGGCTGTTGGCAGGAGAAGAAATACAAGGAAGTTGGATCCTTAGAGACCCAAAGTAACCATGGGGGATGGCAGACCCAGTTTGGCATCTCCCCTGCATGTGTGGAGCTGAGGAGGGACTGGGAAAGCAGGCAGAGAGCCAGATTTCTGGCCTGTATGAGTCCAGCCTCTCAGATTCTCAGCTATTCCTCAAGGGGGAAGGCTGGGAAGCATGGTGTTCATAGGTTCCATGCGTCCCAAGCTCTGAGACTTGGGATCAAGAGTGGGGACTACCTTGAACTTCGTTTATTTAGCAGGGTGTGGCCAGCTGTAAAGGAAGGGTCCTGAGTTGGAAGTAAGGACCTCTGAGATCCTGTTCTGGTTCTACTCCTAACTCCCACTGTGGCTTTGGACTCTTGCTTTTCTATCCTCATAGGCTGTTTGTTTCCTCATCTACAAAATAATGAGTTGAAATAGACTGTAAGGGCTTTTCTAGCTTAGGCGTGCTGCAATTCTATAACTTTGAGCATTTTTTGAATACCCTCTGTGAGCCCAATTTTGGGAGGTGTGGAACTCCTAATAGCACAAAGTCATTTAAGGAGGCCATGCAGGCAGTTAGGTCTGTGGTTCTGGTGAGTGGTCTGACAATGTGTTGTTGGGGGATTTGAGGGCCAGCAGGGTCACGAAGGCATTCCTAGAAAATTGGTGGAGACCCCTGGAGGATGGGGAATTTGAACTTGAGTTCTGTAAGATGAAGCAAGAGATGAAAAGGAGAGTGACATTGTGAGCTCTGTGAGAGCAAGAAATGCAGCTTATCTTTTTTTCAGGTTGATACAAGTTCCTTCCCCTAATGCTTTCAACATCGTTTGTCCACCATAGCATCTGGAACTTAGTAGGTACTCCATAAATGTGTCTTGAGTTGGATTGTATTGCATGCAAAAGCTTCATGGATATGGGAGTCACAGGTCAGTGTGGTGTGTGCAGAGGCCAGCAAAGTAGCCAGCCTGGTTGGAGGACAGGGGGTCTTTCGAATGAGATGAGAGCAGATGGAGTGGGGCCCAGATGTCAGACAGGATGGTTTTTTGGAGGGTTTGGAATTTCTCCTGTAGGCAGTGGAGAGCCATGGAAAATTCATGAGCAGGGAATGTCCCAAAGCTAGTATGTTTCGATGATTTGGGAAGGTGTTCAGGATCTTGCCTTAGAGGTTCCTAGGAGCTCCAGTTTGTACTTTTCCTACTTACTAAAATAGGTAATGACCAAACCCTGATCACTTCCAACCCTTCAGACTTTGCTAGCCTATGCTATACCCTGATTTGGAGTTGTAAGCTCAGGCCCTTTGTACACTGTTGTAGAAACTGTACCATGTAGGAGCTGGAGGCCCTGGTTTTCAGCTCCTTCCTCATTCCCCCAGTGACCTTGCCGAAGCCACTCGTTTCTGCAGAGTGCGGGAGGAGTGGATACAGTGATCTCTGAGGAAGCTTTGTTCCTCTTCCAACTGAAGGCTGCCTGAGCATCCTTGGATGTGTGCTTGGAGAACCATGGGGGAAGATAACAGGAGAGACCTGACCCTGGAGTCTAGGCTGACACATGGGGTGGAGACACTAATTTTTGAACCACAGATCTGGTTTGCATATTCATGACATGGTGGCTATCTTATTATCCCTGCTCTTCACATAAGGAAACTGAGGCTCAGGAGATTAGATGAGTTGGCTCGGTCATACAACAAGTAAGTGGCAGAATTGGGGTGGGAGTTCAGGTCTGTCTCCATATCCTGCTCTTTCTACCCTACTGCAATGCCTCCTCTCATGTTTCACTGGATGAGTCTCTTGGCTGGACTGAGAACTCTCTGAGGCAGTGCTGGGTATGAGTCTCCAGTGTTCACCCAATGGAGCTCAGAACCTTGCTGGACATATAGGGCTCCATGGGTATTTGAAAAAAATTTACCTCTACTATGGTTTTTCTGAGCCGGGCAGTTTTTCTTTGTGGCCACAAGGTGGTGCCAACAGCCTGTAGGCTGCTCAGGCTAGGTCAGGCTTAGCATTGCTTTTCTGCTAGGTGATTCCTAAGGAATTGCCACCCTCTGCTTTGGGTCTCCCTTTTTCTGAGCTTGGCACTGAGGAGTTGGCAGAGTTTTCAACCATCATTTCATTTCCTCGGCATCCTGTGAGGCTTGCAGGGCAAGAATTACTGCGTCTACTTATAGTTATGGAAGCTGGAGTTGAGAGGGAAAAGTGCTGCCACAGAGCAGGGAATAGGGGCAGGCTGTTGGAGCCAGGCCTCCTGACTCCTTGTCAAGACTCTTAACTCTCAGAGGAGCCCACACCCCTGCCTGTTCCACCCCATTCTGTTCTTGGTGTCGGGTTGGTGACTTGTGATACGAGAATCAAAACTAGGTTGAGAGGGACACATGGATGGTTCAGTGGTTGAGCGTTTGTCTGCCTTCTGCTCAGGGCATGATCCTGGAGTCCTGGGATCGAGCCCCACTTTGGGCTCCCTGCGTGGAGCCTGCCTCTCTCTGTGTGTCTCTCATGAGTAAATAAATAAAATCTTAAAAAAAAAATAGGTTGAGAAATCAGTTGGGGGAGAAAGTGGGACAAGGTAGGGGAATGACTAATAACAATGACAGCCATGTGAAATGTATTAGTCTGAGCTTTCTAGCTAATGAGTGAAGGGATTCATCTATCAAGCATTTACCATAGGCTATACATAGTTGCTAGTACTTTACCTGGATCACCTGTATGATAAGATTTACAAGATTAGGGTATGTAATGAATGTGGAAGACAGGTTAACAGTGGATACCAGGCAGGCAGGGGAAGATTAGCTTTCTCTTAATACACCTTGGCATCATTTTTCTTGTTAAAGCCATGTTTCTTTTCTTTCTTTTTTTAAATTTATTTTTATTGGTGGTGGGGGGGAGAGAAACCCAAGCAGACTCTGCACTTAGTGTGGAGCCTGAAGCAGGGCTCAGTCTCAGAACCTTGAAATCATGACCTTAGCTGAAACCAAGAGTCAGATGCTTAACCGACTATGCCACCCTGGTGCCCTAAAGCCCATGTTTCTCAAGTGCTTCCATTTCCATTGTTTTCCTGGGCCCCCCATGCAGCTCTGATGGTAGGTCTTGGCCAGGGATCTGACCAGTGCCCCCTTTCTTTTCAGATATAGCCCTGATGGAAGCTGCTCGTGCCAACAATGTCCAAGAAGTCAGCAGGTGAGTGTTGGATCTCCAGGACTTGCTCTCTCCCACAAGAGGGCCTGAGCTGGGTGAACCCATTCCTCCAGTGGTGACTGACTTAGAGGAAATCCTCATAGTAATCTGGGAAGTGAACCCTGTAACTTCCCTATAGTCACAGTCACTTGGGCTCCAGGTCAACCTTTAGATTTTTTAAGGTAGGAAGTCAGCCCTGTGTCCCCTTTTTTCTTGACCCCAAACATCTCTGGATCCTTCCACTGTCTTGTTCTTAGCAGGGCATGGTGTAGAGTCCCTTCCACATCCTGTGGGTTCTTTACCTAATCTTCCCATTTGTTCTTATTTCTTTGTGGAACTGGCCATGTGTTATTGTTTGTTGCCTCCTTGGAATACAGTTGGGGACCCATGGAAAGGTTTGGGGATTTAGGAGGGAGCTGAAAGAAGCCTGTCAGGTCTTCTAAGGCTAGAAAGATCTGCCCAAGGGGTTGGGGTGCACATGCTGGACTCCTCAGGAGCTAACTGCATTATTCTGGTCTGGCTCAGCTGGGCTGCTTAGACCACTGGTAGGTTGGATCTGAGGTTCTTGGCAGGGACAAGACTTAGGTTGGGGCTTCGCCTGGTGCCAGGGCTGGGCAGTCTGTGTCCAGGATAGATGCTCAGACCGAGGCCAGCATAGGGCATCAGTATGGGCCTGTTGGTTAGGGGCAGAGGTTTTATTTTTGGTGAAATTAGTAGCCTGCACTGGGCCTCATCTTGACCTTTTTTGGCCCTTTGTATAAAACGAGGGGCCACAAGATATCCTCTCTTCCTTGCTACCACATCCACATTTTAGACAGGAAGTCCCATGTTTTGGGTGGCTACCCCTCACCCATTGCCACATTCTTGGTGCTCCTCCTCACTCTAGCTGCCTGCACATTGAGAAAGTGTTGAAAGTCAGCTGCAGGCCCCACCAAGACTTACGGCTTTGATTCCCTTTCATTTTATCTGCAGCATTATTATTGATTCTCAAGGGTGCTTTTGAGTATTAATGTTCAAGGCTTAGTTTTTAATAAACCACTTTTGGAAGTATGGGCTGGGAGTTGTTTCGTAGCCAAATAAATATGATGGAGCAATAGTTTAATAAACATGCAATGATGCATCTTAAAAACCAAGCACAGATGTCAGCTTGTTATAAGAGCCATTCATAACTGCCAGCTGTGCATGGCATCTTCATTTCCCCAGAAACAGCTGAGCCTCGCTTCCTTACGCTGCAGTATAAGAGAGTGAGGGGGCAAAACTGGCTGTGCCCCCTCCTCTCAGGCCTTTGCTGACCTTTAAGTCACCTGTTGGTGATTGGTCAGCCTTCCTGCCGAGGACTGCCAGGCTGCTACTTTCCTCTGGCAACCCAGTTTAGGTGGTATATTTGCAAAGCAGCAATGCTATGAATCCACTTTTTCATCACCCTGGGGAGGCTGAGTTTACCCTATTCCATTGAGCCCCTGAGTGTTGATTATTTTAGCTCTTTCAAATACCGTGTTTTTCTGATAGCAATTAAACACCTGCCAAAAGAATGCAGAAAGTGATTGGATTTGCGGTATGTGTGATGCAGAACATTCCTTCTCACGCGTGTGGATAGCATTTGTAGGGGCCTTTCACGTGTATCTCTAGTTCTTTTCTCCTGCCTTCAGTTGTCTCATTTCTTTTTGTCATGATTACTCAGTCTCCCTTCACCCCTTGTAAGGGAGTCAGAGATGAGCAAGGCACAGATCCTGCCTTTCAGCACAACAATCTTACTCTTACTCTTCTCACCTCCTGTGTCCCCCTCCGTCCCCCCACTCTGAGGCAAAGGGTAGCGAACAAACTGAGCAAAGGCAGGGAGCAGGAGGTGCTGGCTGGCTGCTGGGCCCAGTGTCATGTTGGTACTGCTGAGGTGGTACATGTTCAGCACTGCAAGGGGAGAGGTGGAGGATGGTTTAAGACAAGCCAATGTGCAAGGTTTATTAAAATGCCTATGGTAAGGAGTGTTGAATTGTTATCCTATAAAGCAGTGATGAGACATGGAAGGTTTTTGAGCAGGGGAATGACCCAATTAGGATCATTCAGAAGGGTGAAGAATAAACAAGTAGGGGAGAAGCTATTTCTTTTTTTTTTTTTTTTAAGATTTTATTTATTTATTTATGAAAGACATACACAGAGAGAGAAGCAGAGACATAGGGAGAGGGAGAAGCAGGCTCCATGCCGAGAGCCCGATGTGGGACTTGATTCTGGGACTCCAGGATCACACCCTGAGCCGAAGGCAGACGCTTAACCGCTGAGCCGCCCAGATGTCTCGAGAGGCTATTTCAATAAGACAAACTCAAGGTGATGAAGGCCTGAATTAGGATATCTTTCCTTCGTCCTCTCCCAGAAGAGTTCTTGCTTATGAGTGAATGAATGGGCTTCTACTGCCTGCTGGAGATGGGAGGTGACCCAGGCTTTGGTCTCAAGGAAACAGACATAACCTATCAATTAGAGTTTTTTTCTGCTAACAGAGCTAGGCATACAGGTGGAGGTGGGGAGCCTGACTATCCTTGCTAGAGAAGAACAATTCTTTTGAATTCCCACAACAGGTTCTTACTCAGCTTTTCCATGCCCTAGACTGCATAGGTGCTTCATGCTGCTCTTAGGTTCTTCCTTTGTGTCCTGCTTTTAGCTCTGCTCAGCTGACCTGCCTATAGTAGGATAGAGTCCCATTCTCAAATTTAAAAAAAAAAAACTTAAACATAGCTTGTATTTGGTTAGGTCACCATGTGTATGATCAGTATGGTCTGTAATATTAGTATTTCGTATAAAACTCAGATCTAGTGAATAATATTGTCCTCTACCGTTCTTTCCCTATTGCCCTCTGTGGGCCTCTGTGTATCTCTGCCTTGATGTCCCCTAACCTTCCTTAGCCCTAAAGCCTTGGGAAAGCTCTGGATAGTTAAGGCCGGCAGCCTGAGGTTCTTCTGCTCAGAGGGGAAGTGCTTCATCCTCCTCTTTAAGGATTCTCTGGAATCTGAAGTTCCTAGGTCCTGGATATGAGTCCTCTGCACACACTACCCGTCTGTACTCTGTACTTATTACCCCCTGCTTAAATCCTTTCACACTCAGCTCCAGTGCTGCAGCCCTTATGAAGCCTTCCTTGATTCTTCTCACCTGGCTGTGATTTCTTCTTCCCTTGCTCCATATCTCCCTTCTTTTCTGGGAGGGTATGAAGGTCATCTGAAAAGGGCCAAGTCTGCCTATGGCAGAAGAATAATCCTTTTCTAGAAGAGAAGTTGGAGATTAGGGAGAGAATCAGGACTGATTATCAGGACTGAGGAGGCACTCAGTCCACGAACAGGAGAAGCAGCAAGGGTCCTTGCTGCTCAAATCAAGAATCCTTAGAGACAACCTTTTGAGACAATCAAGCCAGCAGCTCTGGATGGTCACCCTGATATGGGGGCACTGTTGACTTGCTTTATGTGGTGCTCGCTAACTGCATGTAGTGTGAGCCTGCCTGGCTGGAGGAGCAGGGCAGGATCTGCCACTCACCACATTCTGTTCTTGATATTAAGAAGGTTGTGAGCTAGACTTCACCTTAAACTACTGGATTGTGTGCCTCCCCACGCAGGGACAACTATTTCCCCACATCTCTTACTCTATTCACCAGCACAACAGAACTTGAGGAAAGTTGCTTTTTTACTGACTTTTCAGCAGACTTGAAGCAGGCTGTCCAGAGGCTTATTTCCATACTTCCGTTAGCTATTTCAGAGGGAGGCTGAGTCCCTTCCTCTTCCCTTCCTTCTCTCCTTTCTCCCTGTGGCAGCCATTTCCTCCCTCCTCCACCAAGGCACTTAAACCTTGTTAGTGTGTGCAGCTCTGACTCCTCGGGAGTGGAAGCCCTGTCCTGGGGCCCCTATCCCACCTGTCAGCATCACGAGCAGGTGGCCCTACTCCTGGGCTTAGCCTATACCCAAGCCTGGCTCCTGGATACAGGAACCACTCACCCGAAACCTAGGGCACAGGGCAGACTAAAGGCACATCTGTCCAGGCTTGGGCTGAGCCATGTGAGGAGCTATCAAGGCCAGGAGAAATGAGGCCTCCTGTTCTCCCAATGGAGATCACATTTCCTTCAGTACAAACTTGAGTGAAAGACAACACCTCTACCCATTTCCCTTCTCCCAGCAGGGAGTTGGGCCTCTCTGCTGAGTGCATAACTCAGTTGTTCATCAGCCCAAACATTCTATAATGAAGGAACCCTGGTGATATCAATCTTGAACTTCAGACTGCCTGCCCTTTCCAGTATTCATGTGACAAAATTTACTGAGCACCTGTCATATGCTGGGTTCTGTGCTTGGCACCAGGGGCATCTGACCAGACATGATTCCTGCCCTTCATGCAGGAGACTGGGGAATACTGTGGCAACATTGTGTGATCAGTGCTGTGAGACAGGAACCCAGAAGATGCCCCTGAACAGTCTGGGAGACCGAAAGCATCCTAGAGGAAATGGCTTCAAATATCAGTAGGGCTTAGAAAATAGAAGGGGAAGGCTTTCCAGGCAAAGGAGGCTGCATGAGTGGTAGCACTGAAGCAAGAAACAGCCTAGGATGTGTGGTGTGGAGGGGGGAATTATACATTATTTTGTTTTGTTTTGTTTTGTTATAAATTTATTTTTTATTGGTGTTCAATTTGCCAACATATAAAATAACACCCAGTGCTCATCCCATCAAGTGCCCCCCTCAGTGCCCGTCACCCAGTCAACCCCACCCCCTGCCCACCTCCCTTTCTACCACCCCTAGTTCGTTTCTCAGAGTTAGGTGTCTCTCATGTTCTGTCTCCCTTTCTGATATTTCCCACTCATTTTTTCTCCTTTCCCTTTTATTCCCTTTCACTATTTTTTATATTCCCCAAATGAATGAGAATTATCTGGTATTGCTTGATCACAGTTTGAGGCCAGGAGGAACTAGAGAGGGAGGGACCTGGCTATGGAGGGCATTATCCATTTGTCCCTCAGTCATTCATCTGTCCTGCCTGTCTTC